TGCATAAAAACTGTTTAGTTTCCAAATGAAGCTGAAGGGGACAAGTACTCTTTTTCAGTTTGCTCAATGAAAACATTGATTCTTATTATTAAGAACAGTAAGTTATAGTATGCTCAGATCCTGAGCTTTTTTGTTGTTGTTTGTTCAAATAAATAACATCTTTAAATTTGCAGATTAAAATCAGTTTTAGTTTTGAAGGGTGAAATGACAAATACAAAAGAAAACCCATCAAACGTTCAGTTGTGTCTGTTAATCATTAAGGGAGTTCTACAGCAATCTTTGCATGTAATTCTGCATAGGGGAAAGGTAGTGTGTTACTGCAAACTGTCAGTGCCCTGGGACGTGTGATTTAAATTGGCATAGGATCTTGGGAGAATTAGCCTTTTATGTTTGAGGAGTTAACAATCTGCTGGCCTTTTCTCTGCAGCACCAATGACTGGTAATTGTTCTTCTTTCTTGGTTTGTGGTTTTTGTATGGTGGTTTTTGTTTTTCCATTAAGGATGTAGACAGCAGTCTAAACTTTTTTCAGTAACAGTCAAGTATTATCTGCTACAGTACAGAACAGGCATTTTGCTGTTGAGTTTGGACAGTTGAACATTTAATGTGTAATATTTGAAGACCACTAATTCTCTGTTCTCAGAAGCATATTGCAGCTATTACAATTGACTGTATTCTGCAGATTGTGAAGCTAAGCCATATTATAGGACAGCAAGATCTTTTTTTATTGTCTTACGTTGCCCGTGTTTTTTAACTTGTCTGCCCCTCCTCCTACACCCTTAAATCCCCCTCTTCTAGAAACAAAGACTTTTTTGTGTGCCTTCTCTGCCTGTGAGGTCTTTGCAGCCTCCGCTGTGTGGGTGCAGAGCCCCTTATTTAAATGCTTTCCATACCCATGGAAGGTAAGGAACAGGATGCATCAGAAAACAGATAAGTCCTAACTCTAATAGATAAATGAAGCTCTTTGCCTTTGAATTCAAAGTACTTAAAGAGCTGTGCATGTCAGGATCATCACAAGCCCATGAGGTGTGGGAAAAATAAAATGTGCTTATCTGAGATCACATTGATAAGAATATTCTTTAGAGTGCAGATTTCTGTAGTCATGTCCTTGGTAAGAAATGGAGAATTGAGAATTAAAAAAAACAAAACACCAAACTACAAAACAACCCCAAAGTAAAACAAACAAAAGAACCAAACCAACAACAAAAGAACTTTAAAACCCTCTTGTTTTTTCCTGTCACTTAAAACAAGATGTGTTTTCTCTCTTTTCATTAAATATTGTGTTGGAAATTATAGAAAATTACTTTCTTCTTTCTGTTTCCCTTGAAGATAGCACACTTGTATAATCAGCCAAGATGGCTGAAAATCATTCAGTGTTATTACTGTTGGTTTCTTCCCACTGGTTCTTCATTTGGGTATGTTGTTGAGTCAGTAAAATTCAGTTAGCAATATTTTCTTTTAATGCCAAACTTTTAGTTTAATTTCACAGTTAAAAATAGTTCCCTTACATGAAAAACATCTCGATGGTCTGTTCTGAGGACAGTTTAAAATCTTGTAAACTTTAAGTCTTTTGCACTTGCGTTCTTGAAATAGTAAAATGCTCAGAAAAATCCTTTTAATGGATACCTGAATAAGAATTTAGAAACTAGATTTTTAGGTTCGGTTTCTGAAGAGTTACCAAATCATGTAATTAAATTTTCTCCCAATATTTGTTGATGAATAATCAAGTATACACTGAAGTCTCAGTATCTTATGATATTCCTATTTTAGATACACTTTTAGTTAGAAACAATACTTTCAAAATGGACATTAGAAGGCATTTGAGGGATCTAGGATGGGGGAATAAAATGAAAAACATCAGACAAACATGATTTGTTTCTTACAGTTTTAATTGCAAAGTCAGTAGATTGGAAGAATGGAGCAAACTGTGGTCAGAGAGAACAGGAATAATACAAGCAGGTGTCAGAAAGATACAGGTGTATATAATATGAAGAACTTGGCACAAGAGGGAAATTATTTCCAAAGCTGCGTATTAATGGAAAAGAGACCAATACTTGTATGGTGCACGCAGGAAAAATAAATTCATAACACGTTGAAGAGATGTTAGTGATATTGTACTTAAGTGTTTAAGTAAGGTTAGAAACTGTTAAATTTTTATGAGGTTATCTGTAACATGACTTGGCTATGAACTGCATGAGGCAGGGACTCCAAAACCATGATTATATAATTGAAGACTAGACCATAAAGGTGGCCTTTTTAACCTAAAGAAAATTGATGTTCTTCAGCTTTGGGTACTTAATTTTTACAAGCTAGGTAGTTTGCTTTTAGTTTAGATCTGCTTCTTTCAGGTGATTGTAGTTTTCTAACCTTTGTCCCTCTTTACTTTCCACTGTAATTGACCTTGCATCTTGTTTAATAACAGGGTTTAAATCCTGGAAGTTCTGAAGGGTAGTACAGACTTCTGCCTGAGTTGCAGAATTAGCTAACAGCAGAAGGCTGTTGTTTTCTGTTGTCCCCTACTAACCCCTTCATTGTCTGCTTCCAGGGTGAAAGAGGGTAAGATACAAAAGCAAAAGGCATAGTTCTGGTTCCAGACTTAATAGGATTCTGGGTGAAAAGGGAGAAAGAGCAGATATATTCCCCACTCCAGCAGTGTCATGTCCAGCTTGTCTAGAGCTGCTAGGTGTGCTGCCTTTCTTTTGCATTGCTCTCTCTAGCTTCAAATTTGCCCTAATTTGGTAAATGTAGGTAGTCTAACTGCTGTCAGTCTTCCGGCAGAGGTAGCCCAGTGGAGGTCCTGGAGCTTGTAATTACAGTTCACTGCTCACATCTTTGCAGGACAGCTGTTGGTGCTGTTAAAACTTTTGCTTAACAGTTTCTGGTGTCTTGGGGCATATGAACATTCATCTTCTGTGTCTGTTCAGCAGAGGAACAAGCTGTCCTGTCTCTTCCTGTTGCTGGCCTAGGGACCACAGCACTCATCGCAAAGCTGGTTGATTGGCTTATCCTGGTCACATTCTTCCTGAAGTTCAGTTTTGATGGTGAAGTGGTGTTGGATGTCTCGTAAGATCAACTGCTTCATGTTAAGCTTTAATCCACAGCAATGTCATCTTCCACTATTTATTTTTTTTTCCCTGCTGGGTCAGGATGGGACTGGCAGGTGGGGGTTGAACCTCCAGTCCTTTGTATTCACTCTGTTGTTTCTACTTGGTATTGGCATTCAGTTTCTATTCCTACTTCACCTGTTCACTTACCTTTACAGGAAGTTTTATCTTATTTGTGATCATATGTATGAAGCTCTCTCACAAGTAACTACATAAAAGATTATTTCGAATTACTTCAAGCTGTTTGACACTTCATTTTATTTTGACTTGACTCATGAAAATGTGACCCACCTGTCCATTAGACTATTGACTCTGTGCTAGACCTATGGAATAGTTGAAGGGTAGACTAGAGAGTTGAGTCTGTAACTGGGTTTGACTTTTTTTTCTTTTCTGTTCTCACTCCAGTGAGCATATGGCATTTCTTCTTCATACGTTACCTCTCAATGGAAAGATGAGCTGTGGCAAGGGGAAAAGGGAGCAAGGCTGTGAAGCAACAACCATTTTTACTGTTATTATGAGATAAATATATTTAGGCTTTCTTGGAACAGAAGAAAAAGCACTACTGTACCTTAAGTTGAACACTCAAAAGATAGTGGAGACTGAAGGGCTTTTCAGAGGAAAGGTGATACAGATTCTTTATGAGATAATTCTCCTTATGGTAGTTAGAAGTGTTAGTGTTCCAGCAATGCTCTTATATATGATGAAAACATTAATTCAAACTAATACAACAGATGGTTTTCTTTGCACCAAATCAGCCTGTCATCCTAAAAGAAGCTCACTCCCTTTTTTTTCTTAGTTCCCATAAACCATAATCCTCATTCCCAGGGAAAAAAAAATCCCTACCACTCTTCCATCACTGCTTCGGCAAATACATTCTGCAGCATATTGTAAATATTAACAGATTCAAGCTGTTCCAGACAACAAGATGGAGAGCTAATTCCAAAACTGAAAGCCCCTGAAAATAGTGCCCTTGTAATACATTCGGCCTTTCCCAGCCCTCTCTTTCACTATGGGAGCTCCAGTGCTTCTGTTGAGTTTAACCGTACTGGTCTCATGTACGGGAAAAATCGGGCCTGTCAAGTAGATGCATCCCAGTCATGCATTATTTTATAAAAGAAAATTGTCTTAGGTCTTGCTTTTATCAGGGAAGGGAAGATGGGTTCTCATTGTGCATTACGCATATAAGATGACGCTTTTTCTTCTCCACACCCCAGAAAAGATGCATCACATACTTCTGTGGGGTAAAAGAAAACAAAGCACTAGCAAAATGTTTCCTATGTTGAAGGCAGTATTTTTGGCTGTGTAATTCATCTGCCATTTCTGTACCAGCTCTAATTTTGCATGTTAGGATGCCCTAAATGTAGTCTGTAACACTCAAAACTTGATGTGACAAGGATGTGAATGATTGTTGCATGACCACATTGGGAAGAACGGTAACCTTTAACCAAATGTAGTTTGATATAAGTGAGATCATCTGTTTTGTTGTTCTGTGTGTTCTTGAGTTTAATGATTCTAAGATTTCACATGAATAAGAAAAATGATTTTGTATTATTTGGGTCTAAATTGAGAATAGTTTATTAGGAAGAAGAGAGAGAGATCCTTCTAACTAAACTTGAAATATTTTACTACCACTTACGAATTTTTCACCAACTTACACATTTAACTTTCTTTTAGAACAAGTATGTACTCTTAAACATGAGACTGTTGCATTGATTTCACAGGAATAACACACGTGAACATACATTTCTCACTCTGAACCTCAGTGTAGCTGCATGTTTTGTACTGTTGTGGCTTGTAATTTTATAAAGTTTTTAATACATGCCTTCGAAGGATAATACTTTCCTTGCATGTATTTGTCTGAATTTCATTTTTAAACGTTTATTGTTTTGGTTCCTTAGCCATGAATCAGCGAATCAGCCAAAGTGCTCCAGTGAAACAGCCACCCCCTCTGGCTCCTCAGAGTCCTCAAGGTGGTGTGATGGGTGGGAGTAGCTCCAATCAGCAACAACAGATGAGACTTCAGCAGCTACAGATGGAGAAGGAAAGGCTGAGACTGAAGCATCAAGAACTGCTTCGGCAGGTGAGGCCACAGGTTAGACACCTACTTCCACTATTTCTTTCGTATGTTATGTTTTGTTTTGGCTAAGTTGTTGTTTCAGTGAGTCTTAAAGACCGGTGACTGTACAAAAAGCTTTGAGATCTAAAAAGGTCTGAATTCATTCTGTTACTGATATCAGCTTAGTAGTGAAAGCATCTGACTTATCAGACTGAAGGATTTTGCTTTCCTCCCTCGTTCGTCTCTCTAACAAAACTCTCAGAGAACAGGCTTCTTTACTATTAGGATGACATCATGCACTGTTGATATGATTGGATATTCCTCTTGAGAATATATTTCATATTCATTGAGTTCTGAGTCATGCAAAAAGACAAGAAGTTGGTTCCCACAGCTGTTTCAGTTCTCCCTTTTAAGTGGAGGAAAGTCTTTCACTTTTAGGACCTGTTGCAGTCTGTAGGATCTCAAAGTACTTTTAAAGTTTACATAATATTCACTGAGGAGACACCTTGTTGCTAAAATCTTATCTGTTAAACAGTGGAGTGGAGCATGGAGCAACTGAATCACTCGTGCTGCATTTTGAACCTATGGTTTTCTTATGCTGAAGAATTTCAAACTTCATAATGAGGCTGCAAGCTATTCCTTTCAGTATTTTTCTGCTCTATGAATATAGCTGTAGCAAATGTTAAAGTGTAGGACTGGACATTGGAATCTGTGGATTTTTAATTCGGGCTTGACTTCCTTTTGACTTTAAGCCTTCTGCTTCCATTTTTCCATCTGAATGTTTTAAGAGTTACTACCATCTGTGCTAGATATTTAGGATATTCTTTGGTTTTTTGACACTACCAGAGAAAGCACTAATTGTTTCTTTGAGGAAAGCCATCTAAAATCTTACCCTGTTCCCTTTTCACTTTGGGTGACGGGCCTTGTATCAGGAGAGGATAATATCTTAATGTCCTCAAAGACAGCTTTTCTCTTTCTTCATCACCTGCAGTATTCTGTCCTGGAATCTGACTCCCCTTATCCCCTTTGTAGTCAAGGCCTGTTTTGTAGGAATCTTCAGCATCTCTTGGTGTAAGATGGGTCATCTTTACAGCCATTACTTTTTATAGTACTCTAGGTAAGAATACATTGCAAAGGTGGCATCAGGACTTTCTCTCTGCTTAAGCATCTGGGCTTCTGCTGTTCCTGCTTTGCTATTAATCCACCAACAAACATTTTACCCTGTGCTAGCATGCTTCTAGGTAGGCCTTCTAATTGTCTTCTTGCCTTAGTTGTCATTGAGAACCTGACTAACTTTGGACCAGGTGACAGCCAGTTTCCTCCATGTTGTTCTCCCTGGTCATTAAGCTTATCTGTCAAATACGCATCCTTGGTAAATCTGTGAGTTTTGTTTCACTGTGTCGTGATTTTTCATAGTTTCTTAACTTCTTTATCCTGTCTCATCTGGCCTGTCTTGGGGGCTTGATACTACAAGATGGTGTTTATAAGACAGCCTGCATAGGCAAACCATGCAGCTAAAGTAATTTTTATCCATCTTATTTTTACTCTTAGGCATTGCGGAATATCAATCCCAGCACAGCAAATTCTCCAAAACATCAGGTAGGCTCTTAACTGATGTTTCAGCATAATTAGAAAAATGAAAGCATTAAATTAGGCTAGCAGAGGAACTTTTTGCTACATAAAGACATTCTAAAAAAGAAAAACAAAAAATAATTTAAAAAAAACCCCAAGCTCTGCCATACACATTTTTGAACCACTTCTCTGGTCACGACCCTAACATTGTTTTTAAGGCTGCATTACAACAACTTTATATCAATATTTAAAAGCAAATGAGGAATTCATTGCACATTTTTCTACATTGAAAACAACCTTCTTGTTTAGCATTCTTGAGGATACTGCCGTTCCAGTCCTGATGTCATCAAGATGTGTGTTTAAAGCAAACCTCCTATTGTATCTAAGGTAGTAGTTTGTGACTTTTAAGTACTGTTCATATGAATGTTCCTTATCAGTTTGTTTAAACAGGTATGATCTTAAAGAAGGATATCTGTAATCAGTTAATAAAAAGTCACTTGAAATATTTATGATTTTCAAGCATGTACAGTGTAACAGAATTATTTAATAGATTAGACTAACAAAATAATTGCTATGGGGATATAATATGTAATTATTCCATTTTGACATTTAACAGGCTCCTGCACAGATACATTTTCTGTATAGGAAACAATTCTGAAAAGCCTCCCAAGCTCAGACCAAAAGAAAATTGGTCAAAATGTGAAGCTTAGCAAACAGTTTAATGTGGACTTCTTTTAGGCTCTTAAGAACTTGAATATGGAATGAATCTCTGAAAGGGTGGATTTACAGATATATTCAGAGAGCTTCTTGCTTGCTATTGCTAACAATGTTCTTAATCTGCCGGTTCTTAGGACAATATTTATATTGGCTTGTATTGTACTTCGTTTTTCTAAGAAAAACACTATACGTACTAGGCAAGAAAAACAGAATAAAGTAAAGTATCCTGTGTTTGGAAGCCATGAGCAGTGGTGTACTATTGCATTCTGAAGAGTACCACAAAATTTGTACGTTACCAGTTCTCTTGGGAAGATCATCTTCAAAATAGAAACCTCAGACCTTAGAAACAGTACTGACACCCTGGAAAAAAATACTTTCTTGTTTGGCAATATCAGCGCAGCTCTAAAACTGAGGTATTTTAATTGAGGTGTAGTAATTTGATTCATTTACAGAGCATTAACCACGTAATGATCTTATCGATCAATATTAGATCCTATTATGAAGGAAGAGAAAAAATTTCCTTAAAAATTGCTGGTATACAAGGGATTAAACAGAGAAGCACACTCCTTCACACCAGTTGTGGAAACACCTTATCTTCTGCCACAATTAGGTCATTCAGAAGGGATGTTTTTCTTACTGAATGCCAAAAGTGTATTCTATGTTTTCTTGTATGCCTGAAGTCCTGTCATACAATTGTTCGCTCTTCCACAGTAACTCCTTCCTGTTGCCAACTCAGAAATATGCAGCAAATGGAGAACTTTGGGATCAGTTTCATACTTAATAAGATCAGATTTTGGAACTTTGTGAAATTCTGGCTTAAAACACTAAAGAGCTGCAAAAACTCAAAGGGACCTTATTGATAATTCATTAAATGTATATGTAGTGGTCACTCTGCTTTGTTTGGGATGGGAACTGATGAAAGGATTTATGCAAAAATCAGGATTCCAGTTACATTTAAACTGGCTTCATACCAGGCTTACTTGTATACTCACCTGCCTGGGATCAGTTTTATTAGTCTGCACTTGCTAATGAGTCAAGCTGTGTTTGAGTGATCTGGTGGATAGAAAAGTAGGCAAAAAGTTCTATAATACTAGATTATTCATGTTGTATCATTTAAATGTATTTTCTGTGTTTTCATGTGTCACTTCAAAATGTAGCGAGCAACCACATGTGGAAGAAGGTACTTAGAGAACTGCTTCTGGAAATTGTTCTCTAAATACTTCTTGAGGCCTTGTACTATAGGGGCAAATGTTGTCTGTCTTCTCCAGTGATGCTGCTACTGAAGTCCCAATCTGTACATCCTATCAGGTCATAGTCAACCTAAGGAATCTGTGAAAAATGTGTAGAAAGAATGAACATTTCTTTGGTCAACTTTTTCTTTTTGACAGATCCTTTCTTTCCTTTGTGAATAAAATTAATGAAATCTAGAGGAATTTCTGCTTTCATGATGATAAAGCTGTGCTTGGGGGAAGAATAATAGCTTCTCTTGCTAAATTTTAGGTGTTCTTTTAAGAAATACTGAAAATAAAATCTTCAAATGTTCAGTGCTCTTAATTCTGGGAAGACTAAGTCTATTTTAGAGAGGGATGGTAAAGGTCTTCCTTTTGTAAAGAATTATTACACCAGCATTCTTGAAGCTTGCCTGTAATGAAGTATCTCTTTTATATGGATTAAAAAAGATGAGAAATGTTCCTTTACTTTTAACTGGGTCTCTGAGCTTTTCTTAGTCACAGAATTAAATAGATTGGAAGGGACTGGTGGAGGTCATCTATTCCAACATCTGGCATCCAGCCCAACCTCCTCTTCCTTCTTGACATTTTTGTCCACATAACCTGGATACAGTGCCATGGCTGTATTGATATCTTTGGTCAGGTTTTTTGGTGCTGGGCGAACGTTGTGTCCTTGCCAGTTTTTATCTCTCTGCCATGATACTGTAGTATCCTGCAGTGATACTAACACAAAGCGTTATGTATGGAGGCCTTGCACTTAAGTACCTCCTAGAAAGATTAAACAATTGCTCAGCTTCATCTTTTGTAGCAAGTACTGTAAAAGACTCTTCTTGTTTGAATGAGGATGTATTTTTTTATAACTCTAAAAACATCCAAGTCAAAGGTATTTGAAGCAAAAATTATAATTTCCATATTTACTGTGTATAAACAGAGCTATTGATACATCCAGGGAATTTGAAAACACCAAGCATCTGTCCAGTTACTTACGGTCATCATCATCAATTATCTGCGTACACTTTAAAGATGCCTACCTGTCTTAGTTAAGAGATTGAGCAACTTGACTTTCTCTCCATCCCCAGTAGCTCTCCTTCCATTTTCCTGCAGTTAGCATCCGGTTGTCAACATTGTCTCACCTAAAGTAGATGTCAGTCAACTTTTGTATAAATCGTAACATTGGCTAGATGTTAGGTAACAGATTTCTTGCCTTCCAATGGAAAGGGATAGACACAAATAACGTTGAGGTACTGATGGCATTATTCTTGGATGTTGTGCTGTGCAGACTACTTTCTTGTGCTAAGACTGGAAGATTCCTTATTTGTCTGCCACTAATATTAGGGTGTTTGCTGGTAAGATCAGCATACTACACAGCCGTTTACATGATAGGTTCCTCTGTATATGCTTGCTCATTCCGTATCTGCTGCTTGTTTCTAGCACTGAATGGAGATCCCTGTCTGAGAACCAGATACAGCCCTGCTTCCTTGCTACTCTGCTCAGTTGTGCTTTCCAGCTTACCTTTCTGTTATCTCTGTGCTGCTTTCTTGGTAGTTCTGCATACCTTAAATGTGCTCTCTGTTCATTGTCTCCGTTCTTTTGTCCTTTTTATTTTATGAAGTATCTCTCATATTCACTGTACTGTTGCACTGGACTTACTTCTTAGCAACTTTTGAGTGACATTCTGGAAACTCCCCTGCTCAGTGAAGAATATGCAAAGATATATGGCCAGTCTGTCACTGTTTGCTTGAATCACTTGGTTTTGTTTCATATTTTTTCATATTTGCTCTTATTGCATAAAATAAAGCACTTACAGTACTGAATAGTTACTGGGTTTGAAATATTATTTTAGTTTCCTATGATTCCTTTTTTTAAAAAGTTCATTTTAGCTGATGTTGAACACCTTTCATCAGCTTAGTGAAGAAGACTTCCAGTGTTCCAGGAAAGCATTAGTTTCCTAGGACACTATTGCTATTTTTTCAATAAAAGATTTTTTTCAGTCAATTTGCATGTACACCAATACAAAGCTGTGTTACTGTCAATTTGTGACATTCTCTAGAAAGTAAAGAAGGCATCATTAAAAACCAGTACAGTCTTAAATTCTGTACTCTTGAACTTCCGTGATGTTAGTAAAGCTGGAAGTTTTACTGAGGACTTAGGTTTTGGGTTTCTTTTTTCCTCCCCTGTAATATGTCTTTAAACAACAAGATATACTTGTGTTCAAATCTTAGTGGAAATGGTGGGCAATAGTTATTTAAGTTTCTTAGTGAATCCCAAACAGTGTTGCCCCTTGAATCTCTCGCTTCCCATCCCTCCATGTGTTATCTGAAACTGACCTAGATTAAAAAGATAAATGACTTGTCTTGGTTGCATCAAGGGTGTTCTTGTTGGGGGGGTGGGGGGTCATGTTGGGTTTTGGTTGGGGTTTTTTTGTTGTTTTGGGTTTTTCTTTAACAGAGAGAAGGTACTGAAGCCAGCCATTTGGTCTTTGAACATGTCTTTTTTGACCAGTGAAGATATAACCACTGGTATACAGAAACATTTTTGAAAACTACGTTTACAAGATGCAGGAAGAAAATAACAAGTCACTTGCTGCGAATTCATAGCTGTGTTGTCCCTTGGTTTTAATTTGCCTTATTGCTTGATGTTTGATAGAGAAAATGGTCTGTGATATGTCTTACTCTAAGAAGAGATCCATTATGTGAAAAGTTTTGAGGAGGGCTAGCTAAGACACAGTGAAGAGTCCTTCCAACAAAGTTTTTTCCCATTTAAAAATTTTGCTTCTGATTGAACTTTTTAAATCAATAGTCACAAATAATACCTGAAACTTCTCATTTTATTGGAAGTAAATATTGTATCCCTCCTTTTGTTGTGTTTTACTCATGTGATAGCTCTTTATTAGTATTAAGTTTTGCTTTGTCCCTCATGGTTTAAGTTTTCTGTTAGATGTTTCCTTTTGCACAATGAACAGAAATTGTTAGTGACTTTTTACTCTCCAAAGTCAATAACAAAATGTTACTGGAGAACTGTCACGCAGATAAGGGAGCTGAGCATCCTGTACAATATCGTAAGTAACTTGAATATTCCAAG